TACCAGCCAGCCCTGTTTTCCAAGATTTTGGAAAGTGGTTAAGGGCTGCACTTTTCTGTGGAGAGTGTGTATGACAGATTGGGTGCAGAAGGGAACTCATGGTAGGGCACTGAGGTACAAGAGAGGGTGTGGGGTCTGAGATGAGGGTGTTAAACATTGTGTAATTGGTGAATCGAGTAAACGATGCATTTCTGCATTGACTATTCGATTAGTCATTAGGGCAGCACTGCCAAGAGGCAGTGCAATACAGCTGATCCCTCTATCAGATAGCAGCAGCAAGTGGGGGATCCTGGGCTCCGTGCAGTACTGCCCCTTTGAAACACCGCCATGGCATTGAAGTGCAGCGCTGTGTGGAGCCTGGGATCAGCTGTGTGGCTGCCCCTTTGAAATGCCACAATGGTATTTCAAAGGGGCAGTGCCAAGTGGAGCCCAGGATCAGCTGTGAAATGCTGCCCCTCTGAAATGCTGTGGTGGCATTTCAAAGGGGCAACGCTGCACGGAGTCCGGGATCAGCTGTGAAATGCTGCCCCTCTGAAATGCCACGGCCTCTCTGTGCCACATGCCCCTTACAAAGGGGATTTAACTTCATGCGCTGTCCCCACGCCCAGCACAATCCTCAGCACAGCTCCCACTGGCCATTTTCCTTGTTTTGTCCACCCCGATCTAGCTGAAGAAAAGCAATTGAAGTCCTACATGAAAACAAAATAAATAGTTTAAAAATCAGGTATCTTTCTGATCAAGATTTTAACTTTTTCAACTGCTGGAATTCACTAGGTATTTCTAATGTGTCCACCACTCTTATCCATGTCCGTAACAGTTCAGTCCTTTTGGTACCTTTGAATGGTTAGGCACAGATTTAATTGCAATTAAAGATTGTACTAATATGTAGTGTTTGTACAGTAGTTTTTTTCTTTACTGTTGATTACATGTATCATGATTTGACTTTGATTGTAAACATGGTAATTTTGTGTAATAAAGATATTTGTTCATCTTCTGTTGACAGAAAGAGCGGGACTTTTCTGAACAGCACTCTTCCTTGGTTAACAGAGCCTACCAAACCCTTCTGAGTCCCTTGAGCCGTGGATTATACCTAGTAAGGTGTCTCATGCAGAGGTGTCCTGTACATTGGATGGTTTGGGGTGGCTGCCCAAAGCTCCACACTTTGGAAGGGCTGGGCACTGGCAGCAAGGGTCAGGCCTGTCCCTACACTCAACAGTAGCAGCTTCAGCCACAGGAAGTGGAGCAACCTGGGCCCAGTCTACTGCACTGGATATGGTGGGGTTGGAACTCACTGGTCCCAGCCTGTTCTGTTCTCCTGAGCAATGCAGCTGAGCGCTGGGCTCAGAGCAGTGCATCAGGCTGGGGCTGGATTGCTTTGCTTCCCGCCACCATGGTGAGTGCTGGGTGGAGGTAGGGCTGACCCCTGCTTCTAGCCCCTTCCCAGTCGCATCGCTCAGAGGATAGGGTTTGGAGAAAGGGGCATTATGGGAGCAGGAAGAGGAGGGGTTTGGGGGAAGGAGTGGAGGTGGAGCAGGGGTATGAAGAAGCAGTCTCTGGGGTAAAGGTGGAGGATTGTCCCAGGCTCTGCACCCCCACCCTATCTCCATGGACAGCACAGCTAATATGTAATGTACTATCAGACCATAATCAAGTGGGGGTGACTGTAGTTTTACAGTATAATTAACCAAATCTTGTGTACCTCCTTTGCTTGCTCAACATTTGTGTGCTTTCACTAGAGAAAACAGAAATCTGAGACTGAAGGAGGCCACCTAGTTACTATCTTTACTATGTGATAACTCTTTTATTAGTTTTATCAGTATAATCTCGCTAAGGATATGTCTACCTTAGAAGCCTAACAGCACCATACTTATACCTATTCAGCTGTGTTACTGTAGGATCTCTCGTAGTCATTTAAAACCAACAGACTAGCCTATCAACATATTTAAACCACCTCCAATGATTGGCATTAACTAGGTTGGCAGGAGAAGCTTTCCCACTAACCTATTGCTGTGCTCACAACCACTTATCCCAGTAAAACATGTCACTCATGGGCGGGTTGCTTGGTTGGTTGGGTTTTCAGTTACTCCCCTGAGCAACATAAGTTTTGCCAATATAATGTAGATGTGGACTAATAGTCTATCATCCATCCAACAGATTAAATATCTGTGAGCAAAGATGTACCTCATATACTTATTTTAAACATTGTGCCTAGTAGCCTATTGTTTTCTTCACCAGCTGAAGTTGAATGGAGTAGTACTTGCAGAAGGGACAGACAGTGGCATAGATGTGGAGTTCCTCAAGGAAATCATGGAAATCAACGAGACACTGGCAGAACCTAATAACGAGGCTAAAATAGAAGAGATTGAAAGTTTCATTGAAGGTGAAGTCTAGACTTGTCTAATGTAAATGCTTTATTTTCTGTGATATGAAAAAGGCTAGTGTCTCCAAGTAAAGTGATATAAGGTGTGGGATGCCCCATAGTGCCATTTGGTTTAAAGAGACACACTTTAACTCACACAGTTAACATTTGGCATTGTGTATTTGGGAGAGTTGCTGTAAAGACTCCTCTCATCCTGCCTGCATTCTCCATTAATGTGTTGTGGGCTGTAGCCAACCATCAGTTCAGTGGTGAAGTATTTTCACACTTCCTTTTTGCACAGTTAATCATGAGTAATAGCAATCATATGTATTGTCAAAGGGTAAAGCAAAATTGAGAGTGCAAGCTTAAGTTCTAACCAAGCAACTGGCCCTTAAAATGTGTGATGACGTTCCTCTTCATATTTAGCACCAAATCAACAAGTGAATTTTAATGAAAACTATAGCTAGTCAAAGAACAAAACAATTGACAACAACATTACTGCAAAAGTGCTGGCAGCAAATCTATTTCAGTGGCCCTGCATTATGTCTTCATGCTGGAAAAGTGTTCAGTAAAAATATACACAGCTTTTTAATAAGATGGGGTTTTGTTTTGTTTTACAGTTAAACTAGAAGAATTGACCAAGAATGTGAGCAAAGCTTTTGAAAAAGGTAGTGATCTCAGTTGATTACTTCTTGAATTGTTTTTCTGCTATAATGTCAGAGTAATGAGTGATAAAGACTGCATGTTTTGGTATTTAGTGAACTACAGAATTCAAATATCATTCACTGCCTTTACAAATTTAAAAAACCAACCAAACAAACAAACAAAAACCCACACTTAGAGACTCGTGGGAAAAGCCATTACAGATCCCAGAATGCTAGTATGAAGTTTTTAGCAAGATGAGCTGGTCAGTGAGCAGACTGTTGTTGTTTTGCTCCGGCTTGTCGCTGAATAGTTTTACGATGTTGCTCTACGTAAGATGCAAATCCTAATGCTAGTTGTATACCCTCAGTGAAGAGGACTGATATTACCTCTACTGTCATCACCACCTCCTTTCTTTCAGCTCACTGTCATCACGTGAGTATTGTCTTAGTTAAGTCTCATCCATCTGACTCTCTTCCATACCCCATTTTAGACATTGGCTGAGTCACTGAATTACATTCTCTGAGTCAAAGGAGAAAATGCTGATTTCTGCATCCATGCCTCCTTGCTAACTTTAACAGACCCTTGAACACAGGCAGGGTGACAAAATAGTACCCTTTAGAATCTCACAATTAACAGCCCTTTAGGAAGAGGAGTAGTTGCCCGCAACTACCCAATGAGATTTCTCCAAGAAAAATGCCATGAAGAGCTGCCTTTTCCACTTCTGCTAGGGGCTGCAGATGAGTCAACACCTTGTGATCAATGGTACCATAGGCTGCTGGCAGATCTAATACCACTGATATGAATACTGATATTCATCTGTCTTGTGGAGAAGATAATCAAGCACTGCGGTCTGCAAAGGTCAGGTCTGTGCTCGTATAGCCAAGTGTCAGAGATCAAAAGCATACTGGATAACAGATGCCATGTCTCACCACAGCCTTCTCCACAATCTTACCCAAAAAGGGGAGGTGGGATACAGGTAAATAATTAACTAGGTTGTCAGTATCAAGTGATGTCTTTTGGAACAAACTGCACTAAAGTGTCCTACTAAGCAGGGTGCTTCCCCACAGAGAGGCAAACAAGGGGCCCACTATTTCCTCATTAGCCTCCACCTGCTAGGTGCTGCTTCCCAGTAGTTAAGCCTACTGGTTGATGCAGAAGACAAAGCTGAATGTAGTGATGGGATTGGGCTCAGTGTAGTGCTAGAACAGAGATCTGGGAATAACCAGGGTCAGAGGAGGGTTTGGAGTATGTAAATAAGTCATTGAGGCCTGTAGCCAAAGTCCAGGTACAAGCCAGATGGTTCAGACTCAGGGACAAGAGTAGGCCAGGAGATAGGGTGGGAACTGGATCAGGAGTAGGCTGGGAGCCTAGAGAGTCTGGCACACTGTGAAGCAGCAGGGGTTCTTAACTAGGTAATGCTGTTGCACAGACTTCTCTGCAGCTCTGGTAAGGCTGGAGAAATACCTGGCCTTGGGTAGGGGGGTGTCATCTGACCCAGGCGCTCCTCAGAGATAAGCTGCCCTCATGTGCTAGAAGTCTAAGTAACTGTAGGCTGTATGGAAAAGGTAACTTGCTGCTGTGTTGCCACCTGCATAAGTGATGACTCACTGCAGTTCTGTGGAATGACGGCTCGGTGAATAGCCCTGGTTTGGCTGCAGGTTTGCTCACACCACCTGCCAAGGAGTAATGGATCCAAAACTCTGATGCAAGAGAAATCTCTTTCACCACCTTCCGTACCTCAGTGGGAATCACTGCCTGAAACTACCAGACAAGATGAGGCCCTTGTTCATTCAAAACCTTATTCTGTCACCATGAAACTAGATATCCCATCCCTAATCTAATCAATCTTCTCTGTAGAACAGCAAGAAATTCCTCAACAAGAGAAGGGAGTCAGACCAACTACAAAGATCAGATTGTCCTGATTTAGCTATAGCCTGGAATAAACTTGTCCAAGATTTTTCAGATGCTCTGGTAGAAGAAAGTAACTTTTTCTTTGCTTCCCACACAGCCAAACTTTCAGTTTTACCAAACTTTCCTATAGCCGCTGTTGAGCCACTACATGAGATTTCCACCACTGGCACTTTATACGGATGTTAAACGGCATTTAATCAGCCAGTCAACTAGTTGATAGAATTTCCATCGACTAGTCAACTAGTTGATAAGGGGAGGGATTGCAGAGCTCAGTCCTAAGTCCTAGGAGAAGCGCACAATTTGGTCAAGGGGTGAATATAGCTGGACCGCTTGGAAACAGTGACCATCATGTTATAAAATTTAACATCTGTGTGGTGGGAAAAACTCCTCAGCTGGCCAATACCGTGGCATTTAATTTCAGACAAGGGAACTACACAAAAAGGAGGTTAGTTAAACAGAAATTAAAAGGTACAATGACAAAAGTAAAATCCTTGCAAGCTGCATGGAAACTTTTCAAAGACACCATAATAAGAGGCCCAACTTAAATGTATACCCCAAATTAAAAAAACACAGTAAGAGAATCAAAAAAGTGCCATTGTTGTTCAACAACCACGTAAAAGAAGCAGTGAGAGATAAAAAGGCATTGTTTAAAAAGTGGAAGTTAAATCCTAGTGAGGAAAATAGAAAGGAGCATAAACTCTGTCAGATTAAGTGTAAAAAGCCAAAAAGGAGTTTGAAAACATCTAACCAAAAACTCAGAAAGTAATAGCAAAATGTTTTAAGTACATCAGAAGCAAGAGCCACTAAACCAGTGTTTCTCAAACTGTACTCTGCAGAGACCCAGGGCTCCACAGGACATCTCCAGAGGCTCCACAAGGTCGACAAATGAAACATCGATAGGTACAACACATACAATCAGTGGACCGCTGGGGCGCCGCATAAATTTTTACGCACGTAAAGGGTTTCAGAGCCCAAGATGTTTGAGAACCACTGCACTAAACAACCAGTGGAGCCCTCGGACAATCGAGATGCCGAAGGAGCAGTCTAAGATGATAAAGTCATTGCAGAGAAGCTAAATGAATTCCTTGCTTCAGTCTTCACAGCTGAGGATGTTAGGGAATTTCCTAAACCTGAGCCATTCTTTTTAGGTGACAAATCTAAGGAATTGTCTCAGATTGAGGTGTCATTAGAGGAGGTTTTGGAACAAATTGATAAACTGAACAGTAACAAGTCACCGGGACCAGATGGCATTTACCCAAGAGTTCTGAAAACTCAAATGTGAAACTGCAGAACTATTAACGTGGTTTGTAACCTGTCCTATAAATCAGCTTCTGTACCTAATGACTGGAAGATAGCTAACGAGATGCCAATATTTAAAAAGGGCTCTAGAGGCGATCCTGGCAATTACCGACTGGGAAGTCTAACATTAGTACTGAGCAAATTAGTTGAAACTACAGCAAAGAATAGAATTGTCAGGCACATAGATGAACATAATTTGTTGGGGAAAAGTCAACATGGTTTCAATAAAGGGAAATCAGGCCAGCTAATATACTATTGGGGGGCCAACAAATATATTAACAAGGGAGATTCAATGGATATAGTATACTTAGATTTCCAGTAAACCTTTGACAGAGGCTCTGAAGTAATTTGTCAAGGGATAAGAGGGAAGGTCCTCTCTCGGATTGATAACAGGCTAAAAGACAGGAAACAAAAGGTAGGAATAAATGGAGGAGACTAAGAGGGGATATGATGGGTGTCTATAAAATCATGACTAGTGTGGAAAAGGTGAATTAGGAAAAGTTATTTATCTGTTCCCATAACATAAGACCTAATGAAATTAATAGGTAGCAGATTTTTAAAAAAACAAAAGGCAGTTTTTCTTCACAGAGTGCACAGTCGGCCTATGGAACTCCTTGCCAGAGGAGGTGGTGAAGACCAGAACTTTTACAGGGTTCATGAAAGAACTAGATCAATTCATGGAGGTTAGGTCCATCAATAGCTATTAGCCAGGATGGGTAGGGATGGTGTCCTTAGCCTCTGTTGTCAGAAGCTGGGAATGGGTGATGGGAGGGGTCACTTGATGATTCCCTGTTCTGTTCACTCCCTCTGGGGCACCTGGCAATGGTCACTGTTGGAAGACAGGATACTGGGTGCGTTGGACCTTTGTTCTGACTCAGTGTGGCTGTTCTTACGTACCTTACTAAAGGTTTCCTACTTCAATGATTACATTCCTTGCTGGCCTCACATCAGTAAATGAACTTGCTTTAACTACAATTTACTTCTTAAATCCTTCAACATAAAGGATCTACAACTTAAAAAAAAATTGAGTCTGAAGGCATGCTCTATGGCTGTGTGGGATGAACTCCTCTTATAGGCTGAGCCCTTTGATGGTGGGACGGAGCCAGACTTTGTTGTAGCAGTGGTTCCCAGCCAGGTTGCTGGGTCTTGCATACTATGTGGCATAACATAACTGCAGCACTAGACTCCGGGGCCAGTTTTACAGTTTGATATCTAGCAGCCTAGTCCACTGGGTTTTTATTGGTTGTTCTCAGAGAAGTCACTGGAGGACACTGCTGTTGCATATCTTTTCCCCATTCTTTGTACACCTCTTGTTGGATTGTAAGCTTTTGGGGGCAAGCTTGTTTCATACATTTGTTTTGTAGAGTGCCTGTTGCAAGAGGGCCCTGATCCTGACTCAGGTCTCTAGGATCTTACGGTAATAAAAATAACCCAGTGTTGCAATATAGACTTTACTGTGGTATTTATGGCATTTGGGTTTTTGTAATTCACAATGTTTAGTTGTTATTTACGTGGCCATTTTACAACAGAATGTTTGAAATTAAATTTCTCAGATGAAATGGAGAATCCATTCTAATATAAACTTCGTTTCCTTGTTTCATTTCAGATGATCTCCAAGAAGCCAAGAACCTTCTAGCCAAAATGAAATACTTTAAAAACTTGGAGGACAAAGTGAAGAGTAAGAAGAACCCTTCCTAATATCTCATCTTTTGCCATTAAGACCTGATCCAATTGACTAAAGCAGTGATTGGTAGTTTCTGATTCAGGAAGTAAAAGAAGCACAACCATTGTGTATCTTTTGATTTTTTTTTTTTATCCTTCTTTACTTACGGAAACAGAAGAGCTGTGCAGAAGATATCCATGTGCCAGTGTCATTAGTTGGCCGTCTTGGAAGTGAAATGTTGGTGGCAATAAGAATTCTGAACTGCTCAGTTCCAACTGCTGGCTTTTTGGCCACACTTCTTACTCTCACTGTTTACGCTGTCTGTATCCCAAAACATGTGTCTAATCGATCCTTAGTGGACAATAAATAACTGAATATGCAGATTACTGTTGCTATTTGGCTTTAGTCAGGCCTGATGCCACTGTCTTTCAACAAAACTTCCAGTAGGAGAGAATGCTTGAATGCCCACTTTGGTGGATTTTTCTCTGGATTTTGGCTATCAATGTTCACAGCCATGGGGAAAATGGTGCTTGTTTGTGGGAAATGTTTTAGCAAAGATTGCTCACTGGAAAGTTTCTTGCATGACTGGAGACATATGGTAATAACTTTCTCAGTTGTACTGAGGCCATAGATCAGGATTCCCATCCTGGGGTACATGTACCCCCTGAGGGTACGAAAAGCTTGTTAAGGAGGTATGGGGAATATTTGGTAAATAACTAGATTATCCTAATTGAAATATTCCAAAAGTAATAGTGTTAGTGAAAAAAGTTGTGGATTCTAGAGTCTAGAATATATTTCCTTTCATATTGAATAGGGGATATGGGAAGGTTTACTAAAAGCCAAGGGGTTACGGGGACTGAAAAAGGTTGGGAACCCCTGCCATAGATTATTCGGGCTGGGAATTCATTGTCTCCTCCAACTAGTGTGATTCTTACTCTTACCTTGCTTACTGTCATGTTGAGCAAGATGGATTTTTGCATGAGCCTAGTAAGAAGAACCTTTTCAAATTCTCTTCCCAAAAGCTGCCCTTATTTCCTTTCACATCACTGTGTATTGAAATATGCAAAACAGGAGATTTTAGTGTACTTTGTACATTGCCTTGTAATACTAAATTTTTTTACCATCTCTAGCAGTGCACTGAATAAAAAAAGAAGAGCTATACTTAGCCTGTTTTGAGACTGTAAATGAGACAAGACCTTATTTCACACATGGTATTCGCATTCATGGTAGTGCAGACAGTGATTTCTGGAGCAGAAACTAATTTCTCTGTATATTTTTGTGAAAACAAATGACTACATTGTTAGAATAACTTCCTGACAAGCAGTAAAAACATAGTGGCTTTGTCTTGCTAGCCTTTTCCCCTAAAAATTCCCATTGATTTTACTCTTTACCTCTGTATAGAGAAGAACAGTTTTAATTGTTGTGTCATCTAACCATGTGCTGAATAGATCTAGAAAAGATTGATCAAAATCGTGGAGTCTTTGCTGTACTGTTCCTGCTGTTCTATCACTTGTGGAATGGCACCATTGGTAGCAACAGCTCCTATAATAGATCCTTATAGGGTGAGGAAACAACCATCAAAGGGAAACATAAATGCTGTAATAAGTTAAGACTTTTGGTGTTTTAGTTTTAAGGGAAATTAAAAATGTGAGTTCACTTTTGATTAAAAGTGCTGGCTGGAAAGCCTTGGGGAATAAACAGATAACTCCTCCACACTATAGGCACATTATCGACAATTAAAGCTATCCATCATATGTAAACAATAGGCAAACTGGGGGCCAAATCTGGACCATGAGATACTTTTGAATGGACAACAACATATTTTTATTTGCTTTACTTTCTTCTCTGGAATCTGGACTTGATGAATAAATTGGGAGCTTGACAAAAAATAATTGGCTACCCCTAATATACTTGGTCTTCTTCCTGTGCTGCTAGTGTTCCTGTCTTGAAATGACCTATCTCTAGAGGATGAGAGAAATGTTCAATTTCTATCACAAGTTGAATTTAGGCATCTCTGCTGTAGATACCATTTACTGACTATTGTGATCACATATTTTCATCCACCAGGAGCCAAACACAATGTATCTTGTTATTTTCATACAGCACCAAATATCTGTTATGCTAGTTTCTGATATTTTTTTCCTAATTGAGACTGAATTTCCACCTGTAATTTCAGGGAGGCTAGTTGTATCTTGATACTGAAAGGCATTCAGTCCTTGTAATCTATTTTAGCATGACCTTAAAAAGCACATATATAGTTTAACTACTTCCTTTATTCCAATTGGACTAATTGCTTGTGTCCATTTTGTGCTGTCACAGAAATAGGTATTAGAGTGTATAGGAAGAGCATCAAGTAGTCTGGGACCTGTCAGAGGATTAGCCTGATGGCCAGAGGAGGAGTGTTTTTATGTAGTAAGAAGACTCTCAATCAGCAATATGTTTGTGTTCAGTGTGGCCAATCTTAAATGTTCAGCATTCTAATATCACACTGGAGTAACAGCTGCATTTTATTTCAAAAAATGATGCTCTAACCCCATCTCTGTTTCCCAAATTCCTCATATTGGCACTTTAAAGGTCAGAGTGTGAGGCATGCCATGGATTCACATTGAATGAATGGAGAAATCCCCAATGAAATCTGTACTCCAAGAGACCAGGTCATCATAATTGTTTCTGGATATGTAACATACTCAAATATCTCTAAATATTTTTATTTAATTCAGTCTACTTTGTAGGCCGCAATACTGTATGCCTGCGTAAAAACATAGTATTGTTGATAATGTCTTATGACATTCCAGTAATCTACCAAGTTTCACCTTATATAACAAGTTGTGTTTGAATACCACCCTTAATACTATTTTTCTTTATATACTATATGGGATCATCTATGTATAATTCCCATGAATGTGACTGCCCGTTACCTGTGAGTGCACCTCTAAAGTGCACTTTAAAATTCATTGCAGAGCTGTCGTCTTTCATATAGCTCTGCTTCCTTCTCCTTGACTCTTCCTCTGAAATTAAGCTGTTGGAATTCTTGCTTGATTTCCAGAAAAGATTTGTTTTTTGTCTCAGGAATTACAAAGAAGATGAAAATGGCAACCAACAAGCTTTCCAGTAAAAACACCACAAAACAATATTGCTTCAGTCCATTCTAAAAACAAAATACAAGATGTTTGAGATTAATGAAAAGCATAGCCAATATTATCTAATTAACTCAACTGCTGTTGGCAGTCACTCTAGCAGTGCCAAATCTAGGTTTTAAGTGAAAGGAAGAAGTGGACCTCCATCTTCTGCCTATCTCTCTTTCTCATTAGCTGAAATGATCAATATAGGTTGCACCTGCCTGGTCCAGCACTCTTAGGACCTGACCAGTCCAATATGGGATTTTGCCGGACCAGGGGAGGTCATTTCTGACCCCTCTGATACCAGCCCTAGCCTGATCACTGGCTTCCCCTCCATCTTTCTGTCAGCCCTCACTGCAGCACCCAGCAGCCCCATCGCCTCTGCTCAGGCTCCTTCTGCCATTCTGGGCAGCTCTGCTGCTCTATTGGACAGTCCCACTACCGTGCATGGAGCTCCCACTGCCCTGCCAGCCTACAGAGCTCCCATGCGCTATCTCTCCACCGTGACTGGTCCTACGAACTTCCATGGTCCTTCCAGACGACAGAAGTTCCTGGACCAGAGAATCCTAGTTAAGTTGTTCCACTGTGAATTATGAGTTATTGGAGCAAAGGGACATGACACATGGTCTCCTGCCTCCTAGATGCGCACCTGAACTCCTGGATTAGAGAGTTGTCTTCTCACACCCTCACCCAGCCACTCTTTCATTATTTAATAAAATCATAGAACACTAGATCTGGAAGGGACCTCAAGAGGTCATCAAGTCCAGTCCTCTGTCCTCACAGCAGGACCAAGCACCAATACACAGTGGAACAGCTTCAACAGGGGAGACTGAGAACCCTATCTCTAAACTGCCTGTTGCTCTGTAGTTGGAACACCTGCCTGTCATGTAGAAGTCCCCTGTTCATAACCTTCTCCCCACTTCCAAGGAAGAGCAAACTGAATCTAAGATTCCCCTATCCAAGATAAGTTCTCTGATTATTAGCAATATAAAAAGCCTGCCACCTCTTCTTATTCCTCATTTCATATGGAGCAAGGTAGGCACCTCTCTCATTCTTTATGTAACTATATAGGTGCTTAAAGAAGGAGAAGGGTAGAGCTAGGCACCTCCCTACATATTTGAAGTGTTCTAAAATAAAAACAAAACAAAAGTGATTTTTACTAACAAAACAAAAGATACTTGGTTGCTAGGTGTTACAGAGCAACTAAGTAAAACAAATTAAAACAGAAAATCCTGGGGAACAACTTTTAGATAGTGAATGGGGGAGGGGAGACAGATTCACACAAAGCAATTCAAACCAAATCACAAAAATAAAGAAAAATACTCTGATTGCCACTAAATACATGTTTCCCTTTATTTACTCACAATCCCTTCCTGGTTCAGTCCACTTCTATGCCACAAATTCTTTGGAGGCATGGTAGTCCTGCCTGGGTTTGAATCATTCTGTCTCTCTCAAATCCTGGTTTAATTCTTTCCCACAAAGAAAGCAGCCAAGGTATCTTATACAATTAATATTTCAGCACCATATCCCCATTGGTTCTTCTGGCCCTTGCCAACACCCTTGCTAGCCACCTGAGACTACAGCTACACTGCAGGCTTCTTGCTCAAGAAGCTTTTTGCGGAAAAGAATTTCTGCAAAAACATCTTGCACAAGAGAGCATCCACACCGCAAAAGTGCATCGGAAAAGTGATGCACTTTTGCGCAAGAGAGTGTCCACACTGCATGGATGCTCTCTCACAAGAAAGCTCTGATTGCCATTCACAGAATGGCCACCAGAGCACCTGTGCTTGTTTCGATAGGCTGTTTTTGCGCAAAAAACCCTGTTTCCCTCCGCACACACCTTTTTGTGCAATAACTCTTGTGCAAAAAGGAGTTATTTCTCATAGAAAGAGGAATACCTCCACTGGAAAAACCCCTCTGTTCTGTCGATTCACTGTAAATTTTCTTGTGCAAAAATGTGCTTGAAGTATGAATGCTCCGCAAGTTTTTGCATTAAAAACTCTGCAGTGTATACGTAGCCTCAGATTAACCCCTTAGTCACCGGGTGCTGGCCATCACTCTGCCTATCCATCACAGCCCCTTTAAGCACAAGCCTCAGATAGCCTCAGACAGTAGCTATGGGAAGTGGGCATGGAACAACTTCAAAAGTGTCTCCCTTCCCCATCAGACTGATTGCTCAATGGTTAGCACATGCTCTTAGGCCAGGTCTATACTAGACCTGGAAGGTCAGCTTAAGATATACAACTCCACCTATGTAAATAACGTAGCTGGAGTCAACAGACCTTAAGCCGAGCGTGGCATCATCCCCAGAGCAGGAAGTCAATGAGAGAAACGCTCCCATCACCTTCTTTTACACCTTGTGAATCAAGGAAACCAGCACCATCAGTTTTAGGCCCCTATGTAGCTTCATAGAATTCATCCTATGAAACTACTTATTTTGAGAACATGCTAATTATTTGACATTTATTAGAGGTATGTGCATAGGAGTGTCTTAGTTCAGAAGCTCTTTTCAGCAGTCATTCTGTAGCCTGTATTTCTTTACAAGTGGAGTAACTGAAATGATTTGATCTGAAATGGAGTTTGGCTATATGTACTGTTCACTATAATAATCTCTCTTGACCTAAGACTTTTCCATTGTAAGTGACTGTCCCCAACTGAATTTGGACAGTTAATGGTGTGACCTCAAACAAAAAGTAAATAATATGTTACAGATGCTAAATCTTTCTCACCTTCCAAGCTAAGCAACAGCAAGAGATGCTAATAAAAGTGATGTATGAATCTCTGAACTTGGTGAGAATTCTTTTTATTTTTTCTGCAAATTTCTTCTGATCATCAACCTAACCCTGGAGATAAGTCCTCCTTCTGCAGACTGACTTTCTATTTATTTTATTGTCTTCTGTTGTATTATTTGGCAAGCTCTAAAATAAATTAGTCTATTAAAGAGTGACTGACTTCAATAATACCTTTTGTTGAAGGAGAATTTTCACTCATTTTAAGTCTAATCTCTTAAATTCTTCACTGTATAAAGAAGAGCAGTTTCTGTGACCTAGGAAAATTTTTCTGCAAGAAAGGCAAGTGGATATGAGGCAACTGAGAGAAGATAGCATGCATAATGGATACATACCACTATAAAGGGGAAGATCATTCCTATTGTGAAGAAACTCAGCCAACTAACAGACCCTCCTATCATGTAAGCTGCAGGCCGTGAAGACTGTGTAAATAATTCAGCAGTCAGTGTGTTTGTTATGCCACCTGCCAATGAATTTCAGAAACAGAACAAGTTCTTAAGGAAAGTGCATTTTTAGGAAAAGTTTCAAGCCAGCAAAAGAAAATGTATTCAAAAGCAACTCCCATTAACGGACATGGATTTAAGCTATAGATAGAAACAGCTATATATAAATTACCTTTGTTAATTAAGTACTTTTTACTTTTTCTTCTTAGGCACATTTTGGTACAAATTCTGATAAGCCCTATTAACATTAAAGATAAACCATTTCACAGAAATAGTCTTACTGATTTCACTGGGGCTGCCCAGGGAGTAAGGTACAACTTACCATAAGTTAAGGGCCTATTCAAATTACAATAACAAGCCTCATAGACACCCAAGAGTAGAAGGGACGTTGACAGGTCTTCTAGTCCAGTCTCCTATACTCAAGGCAGCACTAGGTATTATCTAGATGAAGGGTGGGGAACCATTTTTTACCTGGTGGCCACTGAGCCCCAGAAAAAGAAGTTTTGGGGCCCCATGCAAGTGAGAAGACAAAACCTTACAGACATGGCCCCAAACTGATAGGCGGGGGGAAAAATAGAGATACTTCCTCATGCAACTCAGGATGCCAGGGATTCCCCTTGCACTTTAGTCCATGTGGCTGGAGTACCAGTGCCAGCTCTCCACTGCTCAGGTGGGGAGCCCCAAGCCTTGTAGGGCAGATTCAGCCTGCAGGCCATAGGTTCCCCACCTCTCAATTAAACCAATCCTGACAGGATATGGTATAAAGCTGCTCTTAAAAATCTCCAGTGATGGAGATTCTATAACCTCCCTGGGTAATTTATTCCAGTGCTTAACCACCCTGACAGTCAGGAAGTTTTTCCTAATGTCCAACCTAAACCTCCCTTGCTGTAATTTAAGCCCATTGCTTCTTGTCCTGTCCTCAGAGGCCAAGGAGAACAATTTTTCTCCCTCCTCCTTGTGACAGCTTTTTATGTACTTGAAAACTGTTATGTCTCCCTCAGTCTTTTCTTCTCCAGACTACATAAATCCAATTATTTTAATCTTCCCTAGGTCATGTTTTCTAGACCATATCTTTTTTTTCTCTCTTCTCTGGACTTTCTCTAATTTGTCCTCATCTTCCTTGAAATGTTGCATCCAGAATTGGACACAATACTCCATTTGAGGTCTAGTCAGCAAGGAGTAAAATGGAGGAATTACTTTGTTTCTTGTTTACAACATTCTTGCTCATACATCCCAGAAGTACTCCTCTCAATTTGAATTAATGTGTCTTCACTAGACCTACTAATTCGAACCCTAGAAGATCTCCTGTGGCTGCTTCCATCTTCTCTGTAGTGTAGACACGGCCTATGGGAAATATTAGCTCTCTTACATATTCTACAGACAATACTGGCACTGTTTTAGAAATATGTTTTAGAGAATTCTGTCAAAAGTTCACTAATGTGCAGTACCTGGACCCAACCCAAAGCTCAAGATGAAAGCAAATATAGAAGCCATGCTTAAGTAAGGCACCCAGGGATACAGCTCCTGGAAAAAAAAAGCAGAACAAGTACTTAGTTCAGATTTCAATCATCATATCTTAACATTTGGCTTGAAGTCAAAATTGTTTAGCATTTGAGCTCTTAAATGACTTCCTAAAAAAATAACAGAAAATTGGTCATTGACTCCAAGTAATAATTAACTTTCAATTAATCAAATGAGTGCCTTCAAATAATGAGAAAATGATGTATATTTAATTTAATCTCTTATTGATACTATAGTGTATAAATGAAAAAAAGTTTTAAGTCTCACATTTGCAATATTTTGTTGTAACTAGTCATTAAATACAAATTTAACAGTCAGCTATTAATTGCTAGTAATAGCCAATTTCTTGTTGTTTTAAAGCAATGAATACAGCAGTCAATCAACTTCAGATACTAATTAAAGCTTGAATTCCCATTGTTAGTAATATTTATAATTAGTAGATGCAAAACAATCTTTTAAGTCTGTAAATTCAAAGTAAAATTCTGAATTATTACTAGTTTAATTTTAATATAGTTTTATCACAGGGCCAGTCTATTATCTAAATGTCATTAAACACATAACTAGTGTGTACAAACTTTCTAGGCCTAAATAATGGATTGTTCCTTGCTGAGAAGAAATTAAAAGTAACATTTATTTACATTAAAAGAGAAAAGTTAGTGTGATGGTAAAGCAGCATAATTAGAGACACATGAATGAATTTAGCCATATAAAACCAATTTTCTATTGTATATATTTTTGATACAATACTAGCAAGGAAGGGAAGATTGGAGGCTCTCTTAATAGGGACAGCTCACCGGCTACAATTAAATTGTTTAAGCAAATGTGTTGCAATGATAGAAAAAAATGGTGTGTCTGAAAACTGTATATACCGGGGATACTTTTTTTTTATAAGAAAAGGGAGTACTTTATAAAAAAAAAGGTTGAGAAACACTGATTTAGATCATCCCTGATAGATGTTTGTCTAATTTACTCTTAAATATCTACAATAATGAAGATTCCACAATCTCCCTAGGCAATTGGTTCCAGTGCTTAACCACCCTGACAGGTAGAAAGTTTTTCCTAATGTCCAACTTAAACATTCCTTGCTGCAATTTAAGCTCATTGCTTCTTGTCCTATCATCAGAAGTTAAGCAAAATAATTTTTCTCCCTCCTCTTTGTGATACCCTTTTAAGTATTTGAAAGCTGCCATCATGGCCCCTCTCAGTCTTTTCCTTTCCAAATGAAACAAATCCAATTCTTTCAGTCTTTTTTTTTCTTTTGGATCCTCTCCTATTTCTCTACATCGTTCCTGAAATGTGGTGCCCTGAACTGGACACAACACTCCAACTGAGGCTAATCAGTGCAGAGTAGAGCGGAAGAATGACTTCTTGGCTACGTCTAGACTGGCATGATTTTCCACAAATGCTTTTAACGGAAAAGTTTTTCCGGTTAAAGCATTTGCGGAAAAGAGCATCTAGATTGGCACTGACGCTTTTGTGCAAAAGCACTTTTTGCAGAAAAGCGTCCGTGCCAATTTAGACGCGGTTTTGCACAAGAAAGCCCTGATTGCCATTTTCACGATCGGGGCTTTTTTGCGCAAAACAGTTCTTTCCTGTCTACACTGGCCCTTTTGTGCAAAAACATTTCCGGAAAAGGGCTTTTGCCCGAACGGGAACGTCAAAGCATTTGCACAAGAAGCACTGATTTCGGACAGTAGAACATCAGTGCTTTTGCGCAAATTCAAGCGGCTAGTGTAGACAGCTGGCAAGCTTTTCCGCAAAAAAAGCTGCTTTTGCAGAAAAACTTGCCAGTCTAGACGCAGCTCTTGTGTCTTGGCCTGTTAATGCATCCCAGAATTATGTTTGCTTTTTTGTGCAACAGTGTCACACTGTTGACTCATATTTAGCTTGTGGTCCACTATGGCTCCTAAATCCCTTTCTGCAGGACTCCTTCCTAGACAGTCGCTTCCCATTTTAGTATGTGTGAAATGGATTGTTCCTTGCTGAGAAGAAATTAAAAGTATTCCACTTAATAAACTTCATCCTATTTATCTCAGACCATTTCTCCAGACCGTCTAGTTCATTTTGAATTATGACCCTGTCCTGCAAAGCACTTGCAACTCCTTCCTGCTTCGTAACAGCCACAAACTTTATAAGTGTACTTGTGGTGGGGTCAAGACATGGCCTGTACCATTGGTTCCAAACTTTTTTATACTGTGGACTGGCAAACTCTTTCACAAATTTTTGGGGGCATGTTTGGCATGTTTATTATGATAAATAATATATTTGCATATTTGCATATTCATTATGGTGATTAATTTTACATGGTCATGTGTTATTTAACATTGCATCTGTACACACACAATATATGTCATTGTAATGGGTTTTTAAATAATTATCCCCTCCCCAAGTATTCAGTTTCCACCTTAAAAAATCATACATAACACATTTCTAGCTTCCCTAAGTATTTTATTAAAGCAGCCCAATGAGACATGAGGCTGCTGCTGGAGAGAGGGAAGGGGTACTCTGGCTCCCTCCTGTCCCAGCAGCGTCCTCCCTTTCTCCTTACGTCCCTTCCCTACAAGCACATTCTTGTCTAGATTCCGAGCGGGGAGCCACCGCTGAAGGAGCACTCCTCCCCAGCCAGGAAGCTCTCTGCACAGCTTACAGGGAACCCCACCGAACCAATCATCAAGCCATAGGGGCGTGGCCTGGCAGCCAGCAGTTTACAGCCTGGCACCGGTTCGCGGACTGGCGGTTGGGAACCTCTAGCTTATACAAATTGTGGCTTGCCCCTGAGACAGAGGGGCTGGGCTTGAAGGCCACAGCTGGCTACAGTGACAAGTGAATCAGAGAACTGCTGATACCCTCCTGGGAGGAGGGCATGGCCCGTACAGACTGTAGCATGCTCCTGAGACAGAGTAGCTAGGCTTGGAGGCCACAGTTGACCACAGTGGCAGTAGATACTAAGGGATGCCAATACAACTGCCAGAAGGTTGGAGAAAGACCACTGTAGTGGATGCTGCTGGGGGGCAGTGTCTGAAAGAGGACACTGTGGTCTAGGAGTGACACGGGTCCAGAATACAAGCGTGGATGGGTGAGACACTGCCAGAATTGGGTGCCCTGCTGAGAAAGGACTACAGGCAGTCCCCGGGTTACGTACAAGATAGGGACTGTAGGTTTGTTCTTAAGTTGAATCTGTATGTAAGTCGGAACTGGCGTCCAGATTCAGCCGCTGCTGAAACTGATCAGTTTCAACAGCGGCTGAATCTGGACACCAGTTCTGACTTACATACAGATTCAACTTACGAACCCCAGGCATCCCCAAGTCAGCTGCTGCTGAAACTGATCAGCGGCTGATTCCAGGAAGCCCGGGGCAGGGG